GGGCCACAGTGAGTTACTGAATGTTGCTAATTAACAAGAGAGGGAATATACAACATGAAAAAGCAAGGGTAATGCATCACAGCCTTTTTTCATTTATTTCATCAATTATGATGATTATTTATTTGTGTCAGAACAGTGCATAGAGACCTTGCTTGAGATTAGGGCCCCATTGTGCTAAGCACTCTACATATTTTAAGAGCCAGCCTCTGCCTCAAAAAATGTACAGTCTCCATAGACATGACAGATAAAGGGTAGGGTACAGGGAGTTTTATCCCTACTTTATAGCTGGGAAAAGTGAAGCACAAAGAGACTGAATCACTTGCCCAAGATCATGTAGGTAAGTCTGTGGCAGAGCTGGGAACTGACCCTAGATCCTTCCTGTCCCAGCCTAGTGCCTTAACATGAGACTACTTGTAGTTTAATTTGAATAACGCTTCATAGTACAGTAAATATTCTACAGTACATTTGGTGAAAACAATGAAGTCTCAGTAATATGAAACCTCAACAGAATATCTGCTATTAAATATTTGGTTAGAGGTGGAGCAAGACCAACGATTTTTGTACAGATTATGAAGTGTGTGACTTAGCAAAACTCAGATAAGCATGGTTCTACTGTATCATGCTTCATAAAGATGACTCCAAATTTTGCACCAAGCTCAAGCACAGTACTGAATTCCTAGCACATAGCATAACAAAATGTCTGCCACTGGCTTAGGGTTAGAGCCATTCTGTTGCTTATGAACTAGGGTCTCCCACTTGTTAAGATGAATGTAAATGCCAAATCTGACACCTCTGACTCATATATTGTGTTTGCAGGTGTCCACATCTGGCTAAGAACAACTGAGAATGAGAACTCCTCCAATAGCAGTATAAAAAGTGAAAACAAAAGAGAGGAAGATTTGACTTCCAAAATGCAGACTATCTATTCTTGGATATTCTCAGAGTGATAGTAATTTCTCACATTGATTCCTAAATGATGCTCAACTTGATGTCTGCTGAGAGCTGTCATGCAACTTTACAAGCCCAGTATATTGTTCAAACTGTACGAAATTAGATCTTGCTTCCAATTTTAGCTTAAAAATAATAATTGAAATGAGATGCAAACATGAAAAGTAGGAAAACTGGCTATTTTATGCATTTCCCACCTTCCTCCATTTTAGAAAAAAAGCATGTGTGTGTTTGGGTGTGCATTTGAGGACCATTTTTATCACTACAATTTTGCAAATACCACATCAGAAGCAAAAAGAAAAATTGCAAGAATGGAGAAATGCGGCATCTTGTAAAAATGATTGCAAAATTCAAAAAATGACTGAAAATAAGTGAAATGACTCTGGAAATCACCATGCACTGGGAATTTTGTGGATAGATTTTCAAAAGAACAAAACATCCACAATACTGTCCTCTTGCATAGTGATATTATTGCCTCAATAAAGTTGTCAGTGTAGCTGACCTCCTAAATCAACTCATATTACTAAGAACAGAAGCATGAAAGCAGGTTGTACTCTTTAAAGAAAATCAAAATCCTCTCTTCCCCCCTATTCTCAAGCATAACATTCCAGATCTACAGTGTAGGAACTAGCTCCCTAGGAATCACTATGGGAAAGTTAGTATTTCCATATAAATAACACAAAAAAAGGCTACTGGAGACTAGGTTCAAATCTAACTTGTATCCATTAGGAATGTAAAACCATGTCCCAATTATAGAAACAACAGAGCTTAATCACTGTTGTTTAAGGGCCCCTACAAGAAAATTTTTTGTTGGGGAGCTGATGTTCTCTCATGTAGTTGAGAATGAACCATGAAAGCTGCTACAGAATTGGGCAATAAAAGGTCTTGGCTAAAATTTACAAAAGAGACTATATGACTTAGGAGCCTAAGTCCTATTTTGAAAAGTGACTTGGGCACTTAAAAGACAAGTCTCATTGAAAGTAAATGGGACACTTGGGCTCCTTGGTTGCTTAGTTGCTTTTGAAAGTGTAACATCTTAGTCTGCATTGGTCTTGTTTTCACTGCAATATGAAACTGTTTATTAATTGTGTCAGGGAACACCACATCTGGCTTCCCAAAACTTGTAGGAATTACAGTGTAGAGGGGCCTGTAGGCTAAGCCACAGCTTTTTAGCTTTATTATCCTAGAAATCTGTTTGCCATGGAAAAAACACAGAATTTGTGTTGTTACAGGGAATCTTTAGTTTTTACCTTTTATAAAAAAATAAAAACATGTATTAACTATTAACTTAATTTTACTCAAAGTACCAGTGTCACTTATTCAATGCATGCAACTTCCCCCTCTTCTGGTTGATTTTTGAATGCACTTTAAATTTACATAGCTAAACATACTCCACTAAACTGCTTCCAGCATATAGAGAGGTTACTCAACAGCATAGAGCAGTTTGTGTTTTAATGCATCTCGAATTTCACTTCAGCCTCCAGCCGTGAGTAATTAAAGTTATGAAAACATGCCAAAAACTTTAAAAATCACCCCTAAAGACCATGTCACTGAGTTTAGCAAGGACAAATTTCATGTTGATGGTAATGTGCTGTTCTGTATGCAGCAAGGCTGTAGATTACGTTCGAAGGAAGACAATTGTAGAACACATGGAAAGCACTCAACATAAACTCAATAAAAAGAAATGAAAACGAGGCTAAAACAGCAGGGCCATCGAAAACAGTAAAGAAACAATGCACTGTGACTGGATTATTCTATTAACTTTATTTTATTGTAATGATTGATGGCACTGGTCGGCTTCAAACTTGCGTAAAAATTGTAACTATATCAATAAAACTTTGTGTTCAACTGATACCTATATATATTGTGGCTAGGAAAACTGAAGCACTGAGAGATCGGTGAGAATTCTACTGGAAGTCTACACACAAATTTGCTGCAAAATAACTACATTGGCTTTTAAGCCACACTGTTTGTTATTCTGTTGCGAGTCAGTTTGCGGACACGATTATTTCGGAATTAAAATGTCTTTTTTCAATTCAGCTTTTATCAATTGAAAATAAAATAATACCCTTGTATTTCAAAATAGGCATGTGCACACACCAGTTAGCAGGTGTGAATTAAATCTGATGTAGTTTTTTTCGATGCACATTTGAGTGCAGACAAGACTTACCACTAGAATAGCAGAGGATGCAGTAGGTCAAGGTTCTGTGGGCTGAGATTTACAGATGAAAAGTGCTACATAAGAGTTAGGAAATATTGCTATTATTAGTGCCTTGGCATAGCAGTATCTGGAAGCTCGTGGGAGTGGAATAGCAGGGGGGGGCTGTGGCCCTGTATGTTGGCAGGCAGGCGGATGGGGGGGGGGGGGAACGTGTGTGCAGGTGTAACAAGGCTGGAACAACAAACAATGCTCTGGGTGAGGAGTGAAATACATTGGTAGAGCTGCATGGGAACATGCATATCCAGTATAAGTCTACATCCAGCCTGCCTAAATGGCAGACCACAGGCAAAGACTAGAGCCTTGACACCACTGATCATGCTACTGACACCACCTAAGAACAGGCAAGCTGTCGTTGTAGCTCTCATTGTACCGTTAGACAGTACTGGGTTTACCATGGTGCCAGGCCCAGAGTCAGAAGGGGCCCCGGCCAGCTCGATCCCCCAGCCGGCTGAGCTGGCCAGGAAAGCTGCCCCCACTCCTGCTCCATCCCCGCGCTGCCTCTTCCAACCCCTGCTCCGCCCCAGCCCCGTCCCCACTCCACCCCTTCCCCTGAGCTACTTCCCGAGGGACTGCAGCAGGGGTCGGGCACGCCCTGCATTCACCAGGTGGCGGGAAGTGGAGCGACCCGGCCCCAGCCTCCTCTGCTCCACCAGCTCCCAGCCACACCGCCGGTTCCCTCCTGCCCCTCAAGTCCCAAGGCTGGGAGCCAGGGGAGCAGAGCGGAGTGGGCTGGGGCTGGGACACTCCACTTCCCGCTGCCCTGTGAGCAGGGCTGCCGAGAGCGGGTTCGGGCCCCCCAGCAAGGGCGGACCGGCTAAACAGAGCCGACGAGACGGAGGGGAAGCTGGGCCCCGGGCCCCCTTCCGGACCGCCGGGCCCCGGTAATTTGTACCGGCTTCCCCCCACTCTCGTCAGCCCTGCCTGTGAGTACGGGGTTGGGCCTGCCCTGCAATCACCGGGTGGCAGGAAGTGGAGCGACCCAGCCCCAACCCACTCCGCCGCTCGTGCTGGGAGGCGGTTTCCCCTCTGCCCCCCAAGCCTGGGGATAAGATGGAGCGGTGGTGAAGGGGCATGGAATGGGGAAGAGAAGGGGATGGGAGAAGTGGGGGCAGAGGGAAAGGTGGAGCCCAGCATGAGGCATCCCCTTGGCAGCAGCCGGGGCTCCTCTGTTAAGCAGGCCCATCAAACCCTCACCCTGAGAAGCCCCACCTACCCTGCATCTGTACCACCCCAATGAGCCCCCCGCAGACACCCTCCCCACTGAGCCCCAACCACCTGCACCTGGACCCCCACCCAAATGAACCCCACCTCCCCTGCACTCAGACCCACCCTGCTGAGCCCCAAACACCTTATAGAGGAACCTTGCCAAGAAGCTGGGAATAGGCACCAGGGAATGGATCACTTGATGATTACCTGTTCTGTTCATTCCCTCTGAATGGGGCACCTGGCATTGGCCACTGTTGGAAGACCGGATACTGGGCTAGATGGACCTTTGGTCTGACCTAGAATGGCCGTTCTTATCTTCCTTTGTTCTTATGTAACCTAGTTCTCCTGAGTCCCAGTCCAGAGTTCTATCCTTTAGGCCATACTGCCTGCCCTAGCCATGAATCTATGCATAATCATACTCTGGACCTAACCGGATGTGATCATGCAGTGCTGGTCAAGAGCACACCTAGCACTTTTCACTGCTATTAGTCCAACGTTTTAATGCATCCTCTTTCCTATCCCCACTTCCCTCAGGAAGTGTGTGTGTGGGGGGGGGGAAATAAAACATCATTTTAAAGATTGTCAGTCATTATTGCAGACTTGAAATACAATGCAAATGGCTCACCAAGTGTTACAGTCTTTGTTCACTGTCTCTCCTTTAGCGTATTCTCTTCCATTGTGGAAACATGGGCACCTCTCAGGAGCAACACATTTGTTTTCATGTCGTATCTAAAAATAAAAGCCCCCACACACACATTTTATCAGCAGTTTGGCACCTTAATATCTGCTAGTATAAATTACCAGCACACTAAAGGAAAACAAACATGAGAAAATGCAAATGCAATAGCAAAGAAGCCAAGACTAATCTGAAATGCAACCTCGTCTCCACTCTGGGGGAAAAGGTGGAAGGGACTGGACATTGGCTGAAGTTGCTGAGAGAAACCAGAGCAGGAAAATCGAACAGACCACAAGAGAACTTACTGATGAACTGATGAGAAAGACTAAACATGGGATGGGATGAAGGAGGATAAACTAAAAAAGAATGTGGCTACCATGACGAGCAGAGGGGAAGCATGCAGTGAGCTATTCACAAGCACTAGGTATCCCAAGCATGACAAGCTAGAAGGGGATTGCACCAGGAAGAAGCCAGAAGTAAAGTTAAGGCTGCTTAGCAGTCAAACGACAAACACTGAAAAGAAACCCACGGAAGAAACAGTATCAGGTGAAACCAACTGTGACCACAAGCAAAGAGCATGGCTCAGGCCATTTGTAGCTCTGATAAAGCAAACTGATTAGGATGGTGCCTTGCAGATGCTGGGAGTATTTGCCAGTGCTCTGCCAACTGCAGATTAATGACCCAAGGAACACTTCTCTTGAGAGGGTATTCCACAGACTAATAGATTTTATGATTGGGGAATGTGTCATTATATTCAGCCTACTTTTTTTCCTGTCTTAACATCATCCCATTATTTGTATTTATAGCTCCTCCACTTTTATACAATACTAAGTTTCTTCCGCTTCAAATACACGCACATTTGGCCAAACTTGTTCTTTTAATCTCTTTCTTGAGAAATCAGTCCTTCCAGATCCTTCAGCTATTTCTGTTACTTTTCTCTGAATTTTCTAAAGTTTATCACAGACTTTCCACAATGGAAATGCCCACAATTATGGAGTTGGGCAAAAACCAGTGTGGGTGTGGTTTTGCTAAAATCTGGTTTTGGTTCCTGGCCTTTTGGAATACAGAATATTTCCCCTCACCAAGGCCCAAAATCCCAAAACTCACCTGCTCACTTTTAACTGTCAAAGTAAAATAATCACTTTTGCGTCCTTCATATGTCTGACTTGGAAGTGAGACCCATCTAGTCTGACTACCAGGGTGAGTCAGCAGAATATCTCTGCACTTCCATACAAGGTCCTGGAACTTGGTATCTGTTCAAAGGGTCAGCACTGACCCCATCTATTCAATACTAAACACAGGTTCTGAAACTGTGGTCCATGGACCATTAGAAGGCCACAGAGAGCTGGCTGATTACATGGGGTATGTCTACACAACAGCTGAGAAGGTGCTCCCCAGCATGGGTAGATAGACATGCACTAGCAGCGTGGCTGGGGCAACACAGGTGACTACTCAGGTTAGCTGCCTGAGTATATACCTGAGAAGAATGACTGGAAGACAGAATATTTTCCTGAATAGAAGGGAGGCTAAATAAGCTAACTTTTCTCTTTCAGTTTGCAATGGATGGGAATGGCCACATTAGTAATACACTTAATATAGTATCGTCCATACCAGTGGAACAGAAATGATGAATAATATACTGAGAGTCCTGTAATAAAGTCAGTGCAGCAGAAGGAAAAGGAAGCTGAGATGTGGGCAATAGGGAGGAACGTATCCCACATAATGTGGTTCACGGTATAAAAAGGTTTGAGAATCCCAATGATAAAAAATAGCATGGTTTTTAAAAGCGGCTTCAACTAGTACCGTTCAGTTTATCCTCCCTACAATTTTGCCAAGACACGATATGATTAAAGCACTTTCCAAAAGCTGTTCTCAAGACTAGGTAGTGACCTACTCTCAAACAGTTTTCAAAATCACACGTTACTTTCAGAGGTGAAAGTAAGCCGGTACGGTCCGGTACGGCGTACTGGCAAGAGCCAGTACACCGTGCCGGACCGAACCGGCTTCCGCGGCGGGGAGCCCAGAGCCCTTTAAATCCCACCCACAGCTCGGCGCCCGGGCTGGGGCCAGAGCTGCGGTGGGGATTTAAAGGGCCCAGAGCTCCGTGGCGGCTGGAGCCCCGGGCCCTTTAATTTGCCCCTGAGCCCCGGGGGCTCCCAGCCACCTCTGCAGCTGGGAGCCCCAGGTTGATTTAAAGGCCCTGGGGCTCCCATCCACAGCCAATGCCCCAGGGCCTTTAAATCTTGAGAGGCCCCGCCTCTTCCGGTTGAGGCCACGCCCGCCTCAGGACTCCGGCAGTACCGGTAAGTCCTGTAAGTTACTTTCACCCCTGGTTACTCTTGTAGTGTAGGTTGGCCCCAGAATAGGGATTTTTCAGTTTTGTTTTGTTCTTTTAAATAGACGATACCTGGCAGTTCCAGAGACAGCTTCTCACTCAGTAACATGCGTAGCTCATACGCAAGGTTTTATATAGCATGAATCTGACACACTTCTTGGCACTTACATTTTGTACAACAACTAACCCAGAATATTAATGCAAAGCATTTTACGTTACAGAGGGCCTTTTATCCACACGCAGCCCAAAGTGCTCTATGGTCTTTCAAGGGCACTATTATGCTATGCAAGTTCAAGCCCATGGAGGTCAGGTGGGGGCAGAGGTGCACTTCCCCAGTGTGATGTCCTAGAGGCATTGCTTCAGACTCAATCTCCATACCTCCAGTAGCACAGAGGAAGAATAGGCCAGAAGAGATCCCAGTTATGCCCTTTGAAAAGAGGCAGCATTTGCTCTCCTTCCCTCGTCTCAAAGCGGTGGTGCATAAGAGGACTGTGTTTGTGGCCCCAGTCTTACCCCTCCACTTCCCAGCTCTTCTGTGGAACTTAGCACCACTGTCAGCACTAGGCTTGAGTAGGACCAAGCTAACCTCCTTGGACACAAAAACTGGGACTGGTCAATGGTGAAGGGATTAATGAAGGGAAGATTGGTGCATCTTCTCCTTGGCCCCTCAGCCCTTCACACACTCATACAGAGCTAGTCACAATCTACCCCTGACAGCACAGACTACATAGATAAGTGTCATTTTGCCCAGAACTAACATGCAGCCATCGCTGGGGAGAAAAGCAACAGCTATGAAATAATTGTGTAGGCTGTTAAAGGCAGGAAGTGACAAATTCCTTATCCATTTGAAACCGTAGGCAGGGAATTAGGGATTCAGGAATATTAATAATTTTGGCCCCAAAACCACATGATCAGAAGCTCAGTTTTTATGTCCCATCCTGAAGCTAGCAGCCGAGTGCCCCAACACCATGCTGGGTCACAGGTCTGTAATGACTGAAAGAAAAATGCCACAGACTGCCTCGTCACCACATCTGTCTGTAAATAGTTGAATTTCCCATGGAAGTCTTGCATCCAATAGTTGCTTCTCCTGTTTAGCACAGGAGATCTAACAGTCTCTCAGCTTAAGGTAGCGTGGGCATGGCTGCGTGGGGAGGCAACCTCAAGAAAGGTCAGAGGACTGTAACGAGAATAGCTGCTGTTCACACCATCTCACATGCTCATTAGCAGTGCTCAGGGAGAGCATGCATAGGATTTATGTGGCTGACTAGTTGATGAAAGTTCCAGCTGTTTGGGGATGTGCGAGAAACACCCACCGTTTGGCCTTGTGATTGCTTACATGTCCCGTTCTCAGTAGAAGATTTCTCAAGGCATTTTTAACAATTAAAAAGAACATTTTAGTCTTCAAAATGTTAAGGTTCCTCAGTCCTATCAGCCACCTTATTTGTGTTTAACTGTGATCTCCTCTGTCCTGAACTTTCCCCCTGCCCATGTAAGCTCAGATTCTCTCTTTCCACCTCTCTGTAAGCCCTTGTGCTGCAGTGGAAAGGGAGAAAAATGCCTTCAGAGGCCTTGTTTACACTGGGAAAGTGCATCCTGTTGGAACACATTAACTAACATGTTTTAACTAACACAAAGCTAAGCACACCCCATTTTCCAACCTAATGCATTTTCCTAGAGTAGCTATGGGCAGAGAGTTACTGAACAGGAAGGCAGTTCTCTCACCTATTCTTGGAGACTTATGTGTTACAGTTGTTTGTTGTCAGAGCTGAACAAACCTGCAGTGAACAATTTATGCTAAAGCTGCTCAGAAAACCCAAATCATTCCCTTAAAAAAAAAAAAAAAATTGGGAACCTCCACCCCCCCTCCCTGCCCGTTTCCAAATTTTCCAATGGAAATGTCAGGTTTTCCCATGGGATTTTTCTAAATGGAACAACATTTTGAAATTGACATATGCTGAAACAAAATGAAATTTTGTGTTTTGGTTTCAAATGTCATTTCATTTCAGTTTTTGAAAATGAAAACAATTTTGATTTTCTATTTTGAGCTTCTGGATTTTTGTCCCACTCCTCCCCCTACGCCTGACCTCTCCCTTTTTTATATTCCCCTCTTTTTTCCACTAGAGTGGGGAAAACCCTACTTTTCACCCTTTTTTTTTTAAAAAAACATATTTTTCTACCTGGAAACAGTTGGCAAAGCCATAAGCAAGTGAGAAAGAGTAGTTTTTTCCACAATTTTGCATACGTACTTACTGATTTCCAATGTTAGGTAGAAAAATATAAAATTATGTGAAGAGTGGGGTTTTCCCCCATTCCAATGGGGGAAAAAGGGGGAACATAAAAAGGGAGAGAAAGGGAAGGGGGGAAAATAAAAAATCCAGAAACCCAAAATAGAAAATGAAACGGTGGGGAAGGGGATGGGGAGGGGGAAGCATAAATAAAACTGAAATTCTTGTTTCCCAAAACCAAAATATTTTAAGTAAAAAAAAAAAGGTTTTTTTTATTGTCAGCTGAAAATTATTATTTTTTTGTTTTGAATTTTTCAATCGGAAAAAAAATTAACATTATTTAAATCGACATTTTCATCTGGAAAATTTCAACTTAAATGAAACCACGTTTTCTGATGGGACACTTTTTCCATCACAAAATTTCAAACAGTTCCAATTTATACGATGAATCCTTGTTCATACTGTCCTTTTTTATTATTCAAATATGTTATTC